TACGGTACAGCAGGTCCACACATCTTCAAACTGCCAAGGTTGAGAAACACTGGTTTACATACATAAACTTAATTTAAGCCTGCACTGGATTATTTCAGCCAAAGTGTCATGTCCTTAACTTGGCGCTCTCCAAATGCACTGGACCTCAGATACTGACCACAGGTTCCTTTGGACAATGCTAAATTGGGGAAGGCTTGTGCATGATGAAACATTCAGATGGGGTTGAATGACCCCTGTCTTCACCACAAACCTATACAGTGGGTCACTTTAATTCCTGTTTGATCAGTGTGAGATATTAGTGGAGGACTTGAGGTCTCTGAATTTGGTTTAGCTTCATTGCAGTCTGAATCGGATCTTCTACTTTAGAATCCAGAGGGAGGCCCTCTAAACTGAGGGCTTAGAGGAACTTAAAAAACAAAACAGTGGCTGTGTTGATGCATGGAAGACACATCTCCATCTTAAGCAGCATTACCAGACCTGGGCTGCAAATAGCCAGATGAACATGAGATGGCAGGAAAAAGCAACGCTTTCATTTCGTTAGTTATTAGATTTATATCCCACTTTTATTTTTGTACAATTTCAGGAGACATATATAATCTTTTTGCAGCCTGGACCTGGGAGCCCAAATCTCATACTTTCAGACCCTATGAAATTTCTTATACTGACTCCAACCATTTGTCCTTCCTTAATTTATACAAAGATGAAGGGACGGAGAGGAATTTCACAGTCCTGTGCCCTGAGATCTCATATTGGGACCTTGTGATTTCGAAGGTGAACTGCTGAATGATGGGCTTGCTTGCTCCTCCCCAGTCTTCAGTAGTTGATTTGGTGCCCTCGTGGGGTTTAAGTTCCTCCTCATATGTCCTTTGCTTCTGATGTCTGGGCCATAGACCTTATGATGGTTCCACTGGAGCCCCCCAATTCTCTAGTCCAACTTTAGCTTTGTTCACACAACAAACCCGATTATACTAAGCCATTAATCAAACGGCCTGGCTTCATACAATATGCCAAGCCACTAACAACAACAACTAACCAAAGTTAAAAGCTAACCAAATAGTATATGATATAAAGGTGTGTGCTAGGTTTTTCACTGACCTGGTTGCGAGAACACAACCCTTGGGTTTCTGATGTTATAAATGGCCCCATAGGTAAACACCATGTATGTCAAAAAGAGAGCCCTTTTTTCAAAACAGATCAGGCAGGTATGACAGAGGATGACAAAACCAGTGGGTCACTGTTACCCATGCCTGGGTTCGCACATCCTGTTCCACTATAGAAAGTAGTTGAATTCACATTATATGTTATGCTCAGACAAATCAACCATATTGACCTGATGACCAGGTTCATCATCCAAGAAACTGGTTGGGTTCCCACAACACACAGAACTACAGGTTACCCAACCCCATTTTAGCTTAATCTAATGTGTTGTGGGAACAACTTATGAGCTATAAAAAAAAGCATAGCAAATATTCTTTAAGGGTCCTCCCCCTTCTTTAGGCAAAGCATTTCTTGATATCTTCTCAAGTGAGTTATAATTTCTCTGACTTTCTTTTTCTTTAAATATCTTTCCTTGCCTCTGGTGCTCTTCTCCCCACCTCCATCTTCCCAAATTAAGGAGAACATGGGACCTCATATCTAGCCTGAGATAAGCTAAGATAAGCAGCAACCTCTTTAGGCCTGAACTGATGCCCTGGTTTACTCACACTATGGAAAAATAAACAGAGGCTTGATCTTTTATGGAGCAGGCTAAGGCACAAATGGTTGCATTTTTCCTTGCAGGCTAGTTGCTATGAAAATCAAACTTGTTATTAGACTTGGTTTAACCTGAAAATATTTGCTTTCCTGTTAAATTATGTGTAGGAACAGAAATAAACAACCTTCCAACTGTCAAAGGTCGTGGCTTAGCTCTCTAAACTTTAGTTGAAGATATCACAGAATGGGCAGAGCTGAATTTTTATTTTTGTCCTTTAGAGTATTTAGAGCTTTAGGGTGGGAATTGACCTGAATTGAAGAGTGTGTACAAATAGTAGTGATAATAATGAACATGGGTCCCACAATGAACTTGATATGAAGTCATTTGGAGGATGGGCACATT